CCAGGCGCCCGGGGGAAAGGGGCGCGTAAACTACTAGACACAAAGAAGGGTGGTGCAATCAAATACGTTTGAGAACTACTGCCCTACAGCACCTGCTTTCAGCAGGCTGCAGCACAACAAGTGCACCTGCCTCAGTTTCCTCCAACTCCCCAGTAACTCTATGCCAGGTCCTCCAGTCCCCTGGTCTCCAGCAGCTCTCACCTGATTCTCACACAGGCAATTCTGCTTCATCAGGTCTCTCTCTCTCTGACTCCCTGATCCTTTATAGCCCCAAGTGGTGCCCTACCCTCTTAATTGGCCGAAGTGGGAACACTGGTTCTGGCACAAGGAAACTGGATCTATGTCATTTACTGGGGCCAGAAACCCTGTGACGTATCTATTTTAGTCACTCATCCTTTTATTGGCCATCACCATTGATGAGAGATCTGTTTTACTATCTGATGCTTGTTGTGTTGTAACAATGTTGTACCAGTCATAAATGTAACTTAGTTGATGTTCCTATTTAGCATGGCTCAGTGTAAAATTAATTTTAATTTTGTTTTTTAATTTTCATTTCATTTGTGCCAAAACACTGAGTTTGATCTCACATTGGTGCAACTCAAAAATGATTCCACTGAAGTCAGTGGAGTTAGTTATGCTGGGTTAAAATTTAGTTGTTCAAAACCACATTTTTTATAATGTCACACTTAAGCACCAACTCCCAGCAGCGTACAGCTGGGACTTCATCACTGAAAACAAACACAACATAAAGTAAGTAGAATTACCATAAGGAAGAATTCGCCCTGTTCTATTAAATAGGTGGGGAAGAGTGAAGGTGGAGGTAGACACAAAGAAGCAGTCAGCTTGGGATTGAAGAGAGGCGGGTTAGGGGGAGAGAAGCGCTGGAATAAAAACTGTCCCCTGCCCCCACAATGCCAAGCACCTATTTCAGTAGCACTTTGTTGACCTCCAGCCACTTTAATGCACTTTGGTTTCACATTGAAATTATTCAGTATTCTGTTTCTTTCAAAAGCGTTTTAAGAGCATTAGCTGTGCCTTTTATGTAACTAAATGGACAGCTGGACTTCTTGGGTAATCAGAAGAGGGACAGGCGGTCCAAATGCTACAGGTAAACAAGAGAAAAATGACTAGGAAAAAACAAATATTAAATGTATTCAAAATAGGAGAAGAAATGTATTTATAAACTATTCCCTGCTTCTGTATTTTCTATCTTTCTACTATAATTTTTAGAAGAAGGCCATACTGCCTCACCTAGTTCTACTACAGCCTTATTTTCCTTTTACTCCCACCAAAAATAGTTTTCTACAAAGGTTATTTCTCTTAAAACAACATTTAACAGGTTCATGCCTCACAAGGCACTAGAGGCATCACAAGGCTACCAATGTGCACCTTCTTGTAGCTTCTTCCCAGAGGTGAACTCTGTCCAAGAAGACTTTTGTAAGGGAACAGTTGCCTCCTTACTAACATTCAGTGTGGGTGTTTTGGTTGGCTAGCTCCCAGTACTAAAAGGGGAATGATCTATGGGAAATCAGGACCCTGAAACAGATAGTCCCCAGGAACAGTGGGGAGAGGCCAATGCTCCAGGTCAGCCTGAATGACAGGGCGGGCAGGCTAATCAAGGAGTCAGGAGGCCAGGGAGGTCCCGTCCTCCGTGTGAGCTGGAATTGCCTGGGTCAGACAGAGTGGGGCCAACCTAAGGAGAAAGCAGGGGCCCAAGCTGAGCTGGGGAGCAGAGCTGAACCAGATCCAGAGGGGCCAGAAAAGCAGCCCAGAGAGAGCAGACCCTGTCCTGGGAGCAGAGCTGCAGCCCCAAAGCCAGAGGCACAGCCCAGAGAGAGCAGACTTGCCCTGCGGGGAAAGCTACAGCAACCAGAGCCAGAGGGGCCAGAAAAGCAGCCCACAAAGCAGGTCAGTGCTGGGAGCAGAGTCACAGAAGCAGCCCACAGAGCAGACCTGTCCTGGGAGCAGAGCTGTAGCAACCAGAGGCAGAAGGGCCAAAGAAACAGCCCATGGAGCTGGAGGCAGAGCAGCAACAGCAGCAGTCATGAGACAGAGTGGTGGAGCTGGGGTTGGAGCAGTCCTGAGCTGGCTGCGGTGAGCAGCTGGGGAGAGCGAGGGGGACCCTGGGCAGCAGGCCCAGCACAGGGAGACGCCTCAGCCAAGAGGCTCTGCAGGCCAGGTTTGGATCGTAACCCCGACAGGGCGGGGGCGACACTGGGAAGAAGGGTCCTACCACTTAGAGTGTGAGAGCGTGTGGCCACCACCAGAGCAAGCGTCCAACCCACAGCATCTCTACAGCACAGCCAGGGCCTGAGAAGGCGGCCTGGGACTTACAAGGAACAGACTGTGAACTGCCTTGACATTCCAGAGACACTGTTTGTGATGTTCCCTGCAACAGAGCGGGATGATGTGTTTCCTTTAACTTTCCCATTTTTCCTTATTCTTTTTAAAATTAATTGTTGATTAAATAACTTGCATTTGCTTTAAATTGTATGTAATGGTCAGTGGGTCAGAGAAGTGGCCAGTGCAGAGAGAATACCCCGGAGTGGGGACACCCTAGCCCCTGTCCTAGGTGACCACAGCAGGGTTGGGGGTCAAGCCCCCCAGGAATCCTGGGCCCAGCCTTGTTGGGGTTACGAGGACTCTGCCAGACAGGAGAGTGGAAGAGGAGTCCTCAAGGGCAGGGAGGCCACTGGGTAAAGGAAGTGGGAGCGAGGACTCAGATCCTTTTGCTAGCCCACTTCACCGGGGTAATGCAGAAGCCAGAAAAGTTCCCCACAATAGTGGGACTATTCCCCCACTTACACTGCTTACACTGTCATAAAACAATCAAAATAGGGAGAATGACCCACATTCTGTGTCCCCCAGCATCCTAGTATGAAAGGCAAGGAATTTCTCATGTGACATTTGGTTGGATAGAGAATATTTTTAAAGGCCAAAGACTATGGCATCTCTGTGTGGCTGTGTTCGAGACTTCTGTTACGAATAAAAAGAGGGGGTCCACAGCGTGGAACATTAGAAAAACAAAAATCCCAACCCATCCTCCCCCCTTTTTTTTCTAAAGTTATGCACATGCTAAAATGTACACAAGATCAGTACCTAATTTTAGACATGCTGCAGTGAATTAGAGCAATAAACAAGGGAGAAGAGAGTAAGAGCAAGAAGCTACTCAGAGTTCATGTACATCCTGAAGGTTCCATTAACTTTTTTTTAATTTATAAATATTTATAAATATTTAGAGGATTGAGGGGCAGAGATTCCAAATTTACATTTCAGGCTATCACAATTGTTTTTGAAAAAATCTGACACTATACATTTAAAAATACATGCAATTAAATTGACAAGTGTTTTTACGCTTAGCACCACTTAGTAACAAAATCTCTTCCCTCCCCCCGCCCCTTTCCTACACAAATTAGAATTTGTAGAGGAAACTTTACTACTAGCACAGCACCTTGATTACAAAAGGCAATTACTAATTCTGAAGTACATTAAAAAGACATGACCTGATTAGGGCATGATGATTAAAATACAGATATAGATTAAGATTAGGATGCACCGATATGACCTACAAAATAAAATTAAAGCCACCTTTGGGAAAAACCAACAAGTTACAAAAGGTCTTATTCTTTGCATGGCTCTAGTTAAACAGGAATGCATTTTACTTTTATTCTATAACATTTAGTTTGGACCCTGCAAACATTTACATACATATTTAACTTTGCACACGAGTAGTCCCACTGAACTCAATGAGACTACTATGTGTACTTAAGCATGTGTGTGTTTACAGAACTGAGGCCCAAGTCACAGCTACCAAGCTGAACTCTAAAGACTATTTCACTTCCCCCATCCTAATTTCAAGACTTCTTTAACAGAGCCGTAAAAAGGGCTTACTGGGCATTCTCAGATATCGAGAAATGCACTATTGTTGGATTCTGGCTTCCTCTCTTATGAAGAACAGTTCCTTTCCCATAATTTGAGACTCTGGAGCCCCGCCACAAAGAGCAGCTCTTCTAATATGTGACAGGGAACACCATCCTGGCATACAGAAGCTTTCTCACAGTTTGAAACATGAAAGCCCCTGTTGCAACCATAGCAGTAAAGTCCTGAAAACGTCAAAGAATGGTTTTCATTTTATTTTCGCCTTGATCCCAGGATATTGTAGTTCTTTCTCTTGAATTTTTATAAAATAACTTGTTCGCTCACCAGGCTCAGGTAAGAAATAGCTATCTGAATTGCCAGAAGTTTCCCACTTCACTCATAGTTTCCATTTTTCCTTTGGCCTTTGGGTAGGAAGCTTCGCTACTAAAACACTTTCCTAAATTCACCCTTGTGAACTCTTCCCTCTGTTTCACTTTGCACCAATTTTAAAAAAAAATCCTTTCAGTTTTACATAAGATGGGTCAGGTTCATGTTTTCAAGTTTCATCAGAGCCTTATTTTGTTTAACAGTAGCTTGACTATAACATAACGTTTTGCTGAAGTTCTGTTTCATCCCATTAACTTTGAAATGTTGTGCAACCATGACTACCACCCCTCCCTCTATGTGTTAAGATTACCTTCTGCCCCACCCCCAATCCAATCTTTTCCACCAGCAGTTCCCCCGCTAACTCCCCCGCTCTCTCCATCCAATCTCTATTCCCTCTGCTGCCCCCCAAAACCACCAGCCTCCCCTATCCAGCCACCTGTACTACTGGGCTCCTCTTTTCCCACCCCTCAACCCAGCTTCCTTCCTCTGCTCTAACCTCAGGCTTCCCCACCTGATGGGCTGGTTCTGCGGCTTCTCCTCGGCTGCACAAACCCCAGTACAGAGGTAGGAACTGAGGTGGTCAGGTGGGGAGGGGGAGTAGGTGTGACGGACTGAGCACAAGGCTGCTGCTAAAGGGGGAGGAGTCAGGCTCAGTGAAGAGCTCCCTACCCCCCTGTGAGGGGCCTCTGAAGTGGTGAATAAGCCTCCCAGGGACAGGGAAATAACCCCAAGTCCTGCCCCCCAAGGAGACAGAAATGAGCCTGGATTCGCTGTTCCAGCAAATCCTCCTCACGGAGCAGCAAGCGGAGGAGAAGCGGCGCCTCATGCACCAAGGTCAGCCACACAGCCGCCATCTCATGCCTGGTGCAGCAATGATGGCCTGTGGTCACATGACTCCCTGGCTCCCATAGAGCCCAGAAGGGCAGTGTGGTGGTTCCCCCATCTCGTGGTGGGGGTGATGGTTTCAAGCAAGACCAGTAAATCTTGGCTGAGCCTTTCCCCTGGAGTATATAGACTCCTAGATTATAAGGCCAGAAGGGACCTTCAGAGTCTTTAGTCTCACCTGTATAATACAGGCCAGAGTTACCCAGTCACTCCTGTATTGAGCCCAATAACTCGAGTTCCTGCCTCTCTCACCACCTCCTGTTTCAATAGTTATAGTGAACTCCATAGGGCCTCAGGACAGCCCTGTGATAGACACATGTGGGCTTGCTTTGAAAGAGCCTACCTCCCTTCTCCTGTGTTTGAATACAGCAGGGTCAGGCTTGTATCATCCTCACGCACAGCCTTGCCAACATATAATTTTTTATCACGAGAGTCATGATATTTGTTGTTATTCCTAAAGCCCCAATTTCTGGAATCATGTTATTACAAGCAAATCTCAGTGCTCGCTCGTTTTTTTTGTTTTGTTTTGTTTTGTTTTGTTTTTAAAGAGTACATTTCTACCCTCCTGATGATGGAGGAAAGATTAAAAACAAACCCAAAGGCTCAAAACCAGAAGGCGAATAAAAAGGACCTGCTATTTTTTTTAATCTCATGATTTTTAAGCTGACCTCATAATATTGGGGGGGCCTAAATCATGATTTTGTAAATGCTTGGGTCTGGCAATACTGCAGTCTAGACCTGTAGTTTGAACTCTACAAAATCTGCTTTCAGGAAATGTAATTGCTTGGAGTGCAGTGGGAACTTTAGGAAGTTTGTCCAAGATTCGCATAAAACCACCAGCAGATTTAGAAATAGAACCCCTGTATCTTGTCTCCCTGCCTGTTGTTTTAATCAGTAGGTCATGGTGTAGCAGAGTATCAACAAGGTACTTTACTATACAGTAAAACAGGTAACCCTTAATTTAAATCAAATTTCCAAAGATAGCTATCTGAATTATCTATGCAAATGTCATGTTTGTCCACCCTAAAGTAGTAATTAGGCACTCGTTTGTTCGCAACTGAATGTCGATTTCCGCTTCTAGTAACTGATGACAATGACAGTAGCTATTATAGGAAAACCGATGTGTTTAGAAGTCTAGCAATTATATGTCTCTACTGAAGTCATCTTTCTACACCACTCTATCTTGCAAGCAACAAATTGTTAAAAGAATCTCACTTTCACAAATTGATTTCATGTGTTTAAAGTTTCATTTTGTATTGCAGTTAAATTAGACATAAACAGAAGTCATGAAAAAATTAAGCAAACAACAGAAGAACTGAATGAAGCAAAAATAAAATTAGAAACTAAGGTAGAGTAGTAATACTTATAGTATGTTAATTATTGTTATTGGTAAATGGGCTGTAATTTTAATAAATTGTTCATGAACACTTTGAAGCACTACACTTCACGTAGTGTTAATATTATCATAGTGTTTGCTTTATGTATGTATTTGTAGGCATTTCTATAGTGCTCATCGCCATAGTATCTGAACACGTCACAAGAGCATCGGCCTGCCATTTTGATCCTAGTCCTATAAGACTCACCATTCAGACTGACCCCTGAGATTGCATGGAGCCCCAGGGGCCTCAGTAGGATTCCAGATGGGCTCAGGGGTCTAATCTGGTTCCTTTTACAAGCTTGGGGTCTTGATGTAGAAGGTAGAACACTCCTTCCTTCTCCTTTATTACCACTCTAAGATACATGGAGTTCGTTCACATACGCACTTCACTGTCCACTTCCATTCAATGACTGCCGTATCTAGCGTGCACTGAAGTAAATTAAGAGAGTCCCAGAATTGACTTTAGTGAGCTTTGGATCAGGCCTTAAGGGTTTCCACCTCATCCACACATCAGCAATTCTATTTGTGTTACTCACCGTCTAGCATGTACAAAGAGTTCACTTATAGTTTGGCTAGTGCCATTGTAGACAGAACCACCTTTCTAGCCAGACCAGTTAGTATTCTACCACTCACTCTTTTACATTTTCTAATCCCTTTTTCCATATAGTAGATGTGGAGCCTTGTTTTGAGACATGTACTCCCTCTTTATACTCTCAGTTTTGTCAGTACTAATAATTGTGGGTGAAATTGATGTTCGACACCCACTTGTTTGTGCCTGTAAATGAGGTCTAAATGATGTCACCTGTGCTCTTAAATATCTGCACCCACAAAATTGTAGGTGCACAGTAAACAGGCAGACAGAGGCTCCTTTTAGAGTCAGGCCTATGCTATCTCTAGTATTCTACCTATAAAATAACAGAAATATGTTAGAGATAAATCTTGCAATCTTCTGGATTGTGCTTTGTGCCCCTTTTGACTTTTACTACCAGACTCCTAATTTTACCAACACTTATTATACTACTAATTCATTTGGTGAGGTGAATTAATGGTTTGGTGGTAATACCTATCTCTTCAAAAATTTAGGCTGTTGTGTGGTTTGCCAGTGCATTTGTTCTACATATGCACTTCAATGCTACTTTGACAGGTGCTATAGAAACCCCTAAAATAGATTAAGGTATGTTAGAGGGGGGAAAAGAATCCACAGAATTGTTTAGAAATATTTACTAGTTACAAATTTAGACCTTGATTCTGCAAACAGTTACACATATGCATGTCATCAGCCCCATTGACTTCAATGGGACTAATGTGCATAACGGTTTCAAAGATCAGAACCCAATATGGATCTACAATAGGAAGTGGTCTTTAATCAGTACAAGGTTGGAATGTGTGATATTTGCTAGGTAACCAACCCCCTGTAGTCCTGCTTATAAAATTAATTTATGAGAATCACAATTTTATTTGTAAAAAGAAAAGGAGTATTTGTGGCACCTTAGAGACTAACAAATTTATTTGAGCATAAGCTTTCGTGAGCTACAGCTCACTTCATCGGATGCATTCACTAATTTGATACTGATTAATTCTGGTTTATAATTGTGGTTTGTATGGTAGGTATCAGAGGACTCAAAAGTAAAACAATTGCTGTACATGACTACTGGAGAAAGGTGAAGATGCAATCCTAATTGATTCCATTGTCTTTTATACATCAAAAATTAATTATATTCTTACCAATGTGTACAAAAGTAGATTTTATTTGCTTGTTTAGTTTGAAATTAATTCATTTATCAAAAGGAAATGATGCAGGCAATAAAGGAAATGCCAAAATGCATTATTTCAATCAAATAATATTTCAATATAAAGATTATACATTGACTAGTGAGATTATTTACATTGTCAATTATTTTTCAATACCTAAAATTTAGCTTATTCTACAAATTCTCAATGTATCTACTGCAATTAATATAATCAAACTACTACTAGGAAATAATATAATACTAAAGTCCTCCTTCAAATATCTGTATGTCATTTCTTCCCTCTCCCCCGGCTCCATCCCAACCCAAGCCTAAATAAGTAGATGAGCCTTAGAGTTCAAAAATGTTTTGACATCTATTTCACAGAGACTGCTTGTGGTCAAGGGAATGCTCATAGGAAATATTAATTTTTTTCTGTTCTGTAAAACCAGGTAGCATGTAATTAGAACTTGATTTATAGCATTTTGCCTTTCATGGCTCAATGATTTCTTTAAAAAAATTTACTGCAAAGTAATAGATTATGAAGGCACTTTGGGGTTGGAGAAACTACAATATGCCTGGTTATATTCAGTAATATAAACACAGAAGCACAATATTAGTAACTTGCTTTGAATCAGTACGTAACAATAAATTATCCCAAAGCTCTTGATATTGGAGGAACAAGCTCCCTGACACCTTCACTAAAATATGGTTGGTATGTGAGGAGAAAATCTGGCCCATTGTTTTCTTTTCTAAATTCTCCTAATTTTGCCCGAGCTACATTACAGTTGACACTACCACCATTCTCTCTGTTATTCAGACATATCATCTTGACTGTACCCTTTCTCAACCTGTTTATGTAGACAGTTTCTAAATCTTGTTACTTCTTCTTCCATAATATCTCTAATATTTGGCCTTTTCTTGCCATCCACACCACTGAAACTATCATATAGACTCTCACCGTATTTCCTCTTGACTACTGCAATCCCATACTCTGTGGGCTTCCTGACAGCCACTTTGCTCCCTTGTCATCCCCTCTCTTTGAGTCCCTTCATTGGCTCCCACTCACCATCACATCAGATACAAGCTTCTGGTGCTTGCCTTTAATATCCTTCAATAACTTAGTTGCTCCCTACTTATCTGCTCCTGTATCTTATCATATTCTGTCCCCCTATGCTTGCTTAGTTTTAAATTTCCAACCATGGTTGTGCTGCAAAATCTGGAAGAATTCTCCTTGAGTGGTATGCACAAATTAGTTGAGCAGCCTACCTCATCAGTTGAAGTACTGTTTAAAAAAATTAAATCCAAAAATACAAATGTGTGCAGAAGGAAGATTTTTAGTTTATTTGGGGTTTTATAGTAGAACTGTCTTCAGCCCAAAGCTTGGTCCCTTCATTACTCTCCTCTGCCTGATAGTTCTCACAGTCAAACTGGGAAAATTTATGAGACCATTAATCCCTACTTCATCGTCAATAGTAGAAGAGGCACAGGGTAATAGCTAGCATAAATAGCTCTCTATGGCTAACCACAGACATTCAGAGAAGAGCACAATAACTTTGGGGTTTTGTCCCTTTGAAGTTAATCTATGCCTGACTTAATGATATCTGGTTAGATGGAGAAAAACTCACCCCTATGTTAAGCTATTTAAAAGATTGTATGCTCTGTTGAGTCTCTCTCCATTCCAAATGAAAAATTTTCTGGCTAAAAATGAGAGTTAAGGACTCCATTCTCTATATTGGGAACAGCACTGAGTTTAGCCTCTAAAGAGGAGAGACTGCTGTGAAGAATTGTGTTTAGATTGCAAGCTAAAGAGAAAAGGAGACCCATTAAGCTTCCATGGTCCAGCAGCTATGCAGACTTTTTTTTCTGGATAGGGCTCTTTATGTGCAAGACCTATCCATCATGTGTACTTATTTTTATCACCAATAATCTTTTCTTCTCTTTGAAGGTTCAACAGCTGTCTGAAAAGCTCTTCTACTTACAACTTTTGAAGAAACGTGAAGACATCTTAGAGAAAAAGAAAGTTGAACTTATGAATCAAAGGAGTATTTTTCTCAAAATCTTTGTATGTTTCCAGTTATACTATTTAGGGGAGTTCAGTTTTACAAAATACTGTATGACTACAGTCAGATTTATATTTTGAAAAAAACTGGACACTAATTAAGTATGAAAATCTGAATGATTAAAATTTCTTTTGGTTCTATCAAATTAGAACACAAAAATTCAGACTCTCACTCCAAACTTTAATCCATGATTTTAGATAATCTACCTCCTGGATTACCTTTAAAAACTTTTCAGTTGTCTTTACAATTTAGTAGTATTACTGCAGTGTCTAGCATATTCCCCTTCTGACATATAGGACAGAATAGGAATACTGTAAATATTATAGTAATGCTACTTAGCAATAAAGGCAAAATTGCTATCCTCTGATGGAACGTGAATTTGATATCAGCTGTATCCAGTTAGATTTGATACATGGGTTATCTCTTCTTGTTTACAAGGGAATTCACTTTTTATTTAAATTAGTATTCAGATAAGAGCTTTGAATGGAATTTAATCTTGTAATTGACTATATGAATGTATTTTTCTATGAGTTAAAGTTTTCCTTGAAAAAGCAAATACTTTAAATTTGGGACCTACTTCTAAAAGGCACTGAGAAACTCCATATTCCAGACTCCCTAACAGAGTCAGCTCTCTTAGGCTATATTTTGGGAGCTTAAATAGTGCAGTGGCCTTGTCCTGGACTTCTGCAAAGGGATGAATTTCACCCTTAATGAGCAATTTAAAGAACCAAAAATAATGGCCATTTTGTGCCATTGATTTTAAGCAGAACTCTCCATTGATTTCAACACATGCTTAAAAATTGATAGCATAATGTGGCCTCTAACACTAATGATACAGCACTATTATTATAGAACACACTCCTTTCATTTTGTCACAAGAGCAAAACAGTAAGATTAATGCAACAGAAGTAATGTTGGAGAGCTAGACCATTTCCCTGTTTTTCCAGGTTACAAAATAGAATACATACTGATTTTACATAGTTATAAGGGGACAAAACTGTATTTCACCTCGATTATTTTAACAATGATTCTATTTTTCTCTATGTATTTTTTTCCCACCTTTTTAGTCAGATACAAAGAGGAAAATGATTGAAGAAGAGGAGAATTTTATTAAGGAAATCACAGATTTTAACAATGAGTATGGACTAACATGTAACAGAGAGCTTTTGATTAGGAAAAAAGTCAAGACTGAAATGTGTGACTTAGAAACTAAGGCAAATATTTTGAAAAACGGTATGTCTTATGTTAAACTATTTTATCTTGGATTGCTAGAGAATACAAATGACTAAAACATAACTGAGTAAAGCAATAGTTTTAAACCTATTGCCTTCCTAGCTGGATATTTCTCTTCGGGCTAGATTGTAAGACATGATCTGCCCTGAATAAGGGACAGTGTGTTGGTGTGGCTATATTGCCCAGTACACTCTCTCCCACTCATTTGTGCTATGCAGGGAAGTACAAGCTCTGCGATACCTGCATCTACTCCTGGCTATCCAGGAGGTCATAGCCAACAGAGAAGTATAGGGGGGTGCACGTTGCATTACCATGTTAAATGGACCACATAAATCCTCAATGATTATTGACCACCTAGCTCTGAATCCTACAAGCCCTCCTAAATTCAATGGGAGTTACATGCACAGGTGCCTCATGAGATTGGTCCTTTATAGTTATTGTCTCAAACAGGATCCTATGACCCTTTGAGCTCAAATATAGAATATAAGATCATAGCAGGTAGTCTAACCACGGCATTTCCTGTTCCTCTTCCTTGCTGACTGGGCAGTCATTCTTTGTGCTAGCCACAGACCACATGAGTAACAAAGGCAATGGCTACTTGGACCGTTTCAGTTCCTATTTCTCCAGGTGAACCCAACTCACCCATCTGGCGATAAAGTCCAGAGTTCCAGCAACATGAATAGCCAACAGGGGTAAAAAATTTCTCTGCAGACAGTTTGACTTGACAGACTTAATTCATCATGCACCTGTTCCTTGTATTCCCTCTTTGTAGATACATATAATTCTAATAGAGTTGTCCATATGTAATTTCTTGTACACCAGGTTTTATAAGTCTAATTGTATTTTTAGCCTAATGTCCTTTTAGAATATCCAAAGACGGTTACAAGTAATTAAAGAGTATTTAAGATTATACCATCAAGATTAAAACTGTAATACATTTTAACTTAAAATATATTTCTTCTTAGAAATGGAGTCAATGGAACATGAAAATGTTCAGTTAAATGCACTCCAGCTGCAGAAGAATGAATTAAAGCAGGATTTATTTACTCTCCAGAGCAAACTCAAAGGTATTTAATGTGTTTGATAATCACTTATTATGATAATCATTTGTGATTTGACAAACATATTTGACAAATAGCTCCCCTCAGATATTTTTTCAGAAGTATGATTGTCCCAATGACTATTCATTGTCTTAATGAAAGATATGAACTGTTACTTAGAATGACAATGGATAGTCACGGGGACAGGGAAAGAGAGTTAGAATGGATGTATAGCTTGGTATTTAGGGACTCGCCTGTGGGGAGGGACACCCAAGTCCCTTCTCCAGTGATAATTTTTTAAAAGTAGAACACAGCTTCAAGAGAAGAGATTGAAAAAAACCGCATACTAGAATATCCATAGCCCAGTGATAGTAGTGCGCTACTCTTCTGAAATGTGGGAGACCCCAACTAAAATCTCTTCTCCACATCAGGCAGTGGGAAGAATTGAACCTAGGTCTCCCACATCCCAGGTGAGTGCCCTTATCACTGGGGTAAAACACATACATTTATAAAAATTTTCAAACTTAGATTCACCAAACAATTTTTTTAAATGTCGTTTTTGGTTTGACCGAAAACTTTTTCTTGAAAACCAAAAAAAGCCATTGTTCATCTAGCTTTAATGATAAGCTGTTTATCCTGCTAATCTTTTCAGATATAATACTGCATTGATTTAGAATGAGGACATGAGATATATATATATGTGTGTGTAACTTGATTTATGAAAGAACCAACAAAAGGTGACAAAGTAAAAGTTTTTATCCGTGTGCCGGTGGTGCATATCTGAAATAAAATAAAGCAGGAGCATTGGATAACTCAGGATAATCTGGGGTCTGAACCTGCTCTCACGGAAGTCAAAACAGTAGGTGTTACCATTGTCTTCTGTGGAAGCAGGATAGGGGCCATAAAAGACAAATTTGAGGCTTATAAATTTGAACCAGTGGTGTCACTCTCTTCCAGACTATTTTTATCATTTATGGATAGATTGATAGTAATTTAGTTATCTACCCTCTCCCTCATTTCCTTTCGCTTTTTGTCTTCGTTATTCCTTTCTCCAACCTCACCTTCCTTTTCACCTCTTCTCTCTTTATAATAATGAAACAATCTTTCTCCAAAGTACTTTGGTGTTTGAAATACAGCTCTGATCCATGTATACTGTAACACCTCTTGATAGCCATGAAACATAAGGTGCCTGTCATCTAGATTATTATGTACTAGGATCTAGTAATAAAATGGGTTTATTTGTGTGACATTTCAAATAGAGCAGAGTTCAGTGGATCCAACTTTTGTCCCATTTTGTTTAACACTGCAGTCCATTCACCATCATAATTATTTACTGTACTACGGTAGTGCCTAGGAGAGCTAGTCATAGATTAAACGAAAAGGAGTACTAGTGGCACCTTAGAAACTAACCAATTTATTTGAGCATAAGCTTTTGTGAGCTACAGCTCACTTCATCGGATGCATTTAGTGGATGAAGTGAGCTGTAGCTCACGAAAGCTTATGCTCAAATAAATTGGTTAGTTTCTAAGGTGCCACTAGTACTCCTTTTCTTTTTGCGAATACAGACTAACACGGCTGCTACTCTGAAACCAGTCATAGACTAGGAGGCCACTGTGGTAAGTGCTGTGCAAACTCAGAACAAAGAGATGATGTCTGTCCCAAAGAACTTACCACATAAGAGTATTTGTATTCTGCCATGGGGAGGTGTGATTGAAGCATATACAGACAGATATGAAATCAAAGCTAGCTTGAGTAACAGCAGCAGCATTGGTGTCTGCACAAGCTACTCCTGCCTGCCAGAACCCTGCATACATCCTCGAGCAGTCACCGACCGTGCGGCTGCAACTTCACTACTACTGTTGCTCAAGCTATTGTTGATGAGTTTTAAGGAGGGTTTTGGAGGAAGATAATGATGTAGATTTCCCCCTCCCAACTGCGAGGAACTGCATGTAATAAGGAATGAAGGGCTTGTTTAAAAATTGTACAAGTTGGTGATGGCATCATGGGGCGACTGGAGGTGGGAGTCAACATCTCAATACCGACTGAGAGATAACTAGGGTGGAGATGGGCTATGAAGGGCCATGAAAGTTAAGACAGGCACCTTATGTTTCATGTAATAGAGAAGGGGGAGCCAGAGGAGGGATGCAAAGACAGGAGTGATAGGGTCAAAGTGACGGGACAGAAAAATGATCTTGGCAGCAGCATTTGGAATGGAGATGAGCAGGGCAAGACTACATTTGTCGAGGCCAGAGAAAAATCTGAAAGAATCACCAAGATTTAGTCAGCCTGGACGTGAGGACCTACAAAGAGGGCCAAGTCAAAGATGATGCCCGTGACATAGGTCTGAGTGACAGGCAGGATGGCAATGTTGTCCACAATGATTGAGAAAAGAGGTATTAGGAAGGCTCGGAGGATTGGGCAGGAGATAAGAAGCTGAGTTTTAGACATGTTGATCTTAAGCTGATGACTAGACATCGGTGAGCAGATGTCAGAGAGACAGGCCAAGATTTTAGATTGGACAAAGGGAGATAGGCCTGGAGCCAAAAGATAGATCTGTGAGTCATCAACATAGAGATGGCTGAATTTGTGTTTACAGATGAGATTACTGTGTAGGTGAAATCAGGTGTAGACAGAGAAGAGAAAGTGACCAAGGACAGAGCCCTGTGACACCCCCACTGAAAGTTGAAGGGGTGAGGAAGAGGATCCTCTGAAGGACCAGTTAGAGAGTAGGAGGAAAATCAGGAGAGAAAAAAGTCATGGAAAGAAAAGGAGGACAAGATTTCAAGAAAAAAAAAAAACAGCTGACTATGTTAAAGGCAGCTGACATGTCAAGGAGGATGAGGATGAAGTACCGGTTCTGAGATTTGGCTAAAATAGTATAATAAAGCCAATCTTTTATTTTTATTAAATCTACAAAGCTTTCGGTATAAAATAGAAATAACCAGAATGTATGTGTATTGTTTACATAATGCATATGTAATAGTAGTTGAACTAGGGAAGAAATGCCATAAATGGTTCTTTCTGAGTTAAAATTTTAATGTACAGATACTATAAGCATCCTGCAGATTTTGCAATTGCTTGAAAGATTACAATTGTATGGTAACTACAACTGTAAAATATTTTAATTTCATGTACTGTGATCTAATATTTTCACCTTCATAGCAGTTTCCACAATAATTAGAATGTGTGAGCTTATAAAATGCAGGCTATATGTGAATACAGATGATTAATATATATTAGTAAGGACATTGTTATTTTATTTTTAGATACCAAAGAACAACTACATGAAGCTGAAGACATTACAAAATGTTTAGAAGCAGAAAAAGTCAAAGTTAGTGAAAAGCCTCAGACTGACATTGAATGTTTAAGGTAATGACCATCAGTTGTGTAGTTTAGTTTTCAAACTTAAACTTTGCCTTTACGATTTTGGATCATTCCTGTAACATCATGGTAGCTACACTGGGCCTAATTTTAACTTTTTCTGCATACTATTCCCTTTGAAGTCTGAAAAAATAATTAGTGTGTGTTACAGAACAAATCCTGTTGCCCTTACTTATGACATCCAGTTAAGTCAAAGACTTTGCTCCTCGTTGTCTGGCTATACCAAAAAGAAGGACAGGAGACACTTGATATGGATTTAATCAGGCCACAACTTTATTATTAAATGTCTGGGACTACCCAGCAGATAAAAGTGTACAGTGCAGGCAACCACCTATTTATTCCATAATTTCCCAGGGGGCTTCCACCAGCTCCCCCTCTTTTTCCAGCCAGGTCCCTCAAGCACATCTTTTGCCAGAACCTTACCATAAACGCCCCCTCATAGACAGGTTAAGGTGGGCTATAAGAAAGGGGGGTTGGCTCCCTGCTGTTCCAACCATAGGAGCCCCAAACTCCCTGCCCCGTTCCATTCCTTTAACCAGCACTTCCTTTTTAAGTCCTTTACCAGGCCATTTATCTGGTCACTGGATGCCTTCCCTATCGAGTACCTGCACTGAACATCTGCCCCACACTTACAAAATAAGTTGTGACATATAGCCTACCACCTTTTCTGCTCACCATAATAGGCCTTCCCTGACACCCACTGTGGGGAAGGCGAAAACCCCCCCACACCACTGAAGCCAATATGGTGGTGAGGGAAAAATTCCTTCCCAGCCCCGGTAAAAAGCAGCGACTAGCACAATGCCCACAGCAGGTTCAAACTCCACCTGACCATCTCACGTCAAGGGGAGGGAGGGTGGGTGCTGCCTTACCTGCTGTGCTGTTTCAGCCTACAGAATGGAATGGTGATCCTTGTTCCTCTGCACCAGTTGTGCAGTGGTCTGAGGACACTGGAGTCACAAAAATTTAAATTTGATCTACTTTCCCTGATCACTGCCACCCTCCCCAAGTGCGATTGTCTTCGAATGAAGCTACTGTGGAGTCACGCCTCTGGTGCATAAAAGGTGCATCAGCATCCCCGTATGGCTCGTTCTCTCATGGACTAAGTAAAATGGAGGACCATGTACTCATTTTCTGCTCTATGTGAGTACTTGATCTTCCATCTTACTCACTTTCTGGAAAAAAAAAAGGGACTTCCCGGTTCTGGAAATTGACATCTATCTTAGTTTGCCTAAATGTGACATTTACCCTTTTATGCAAATGTAAATTCTGCAATATCTTTTAAGGAGAAACCATGACTTTTCAATACAAAAATATTGAAGACATGTTAATATAATGTTTTCTGAGCTTGATGAAATTGTCCTTGGGCGTAAGAACCCTTTAACAAAGCAAAGAAAGGACTTCTTTGTAGCAGAGCTCATCTGAAGTTTTCTTTTCCCCATAGAAATTTATGATGAAAATGAAGTAACATTTGTCATCATCAAAATCTTCCATGGAAATTTGACTTTTCAGCTGAAAACTGAAAGATTGCAGCTATACTCTTTCAATTAAAAAAGTTTCCAGGAAAATTTTGCTTGTCAAAAACCCAATTTTCTGTTGAAAAACAGTTTTCATAGAAAATCAACCACCAACCCTATTTCCTAACTCTTTCAACCCTTGAGAATTAATTAATTTGGAAAGCTACATACAGGGACAAAAGACTTTTGTACAACATGTACACAGACACAATGTAAATAGTAATAGTATCTGCTGGTCCATAAGGGAATATGTTAGACTTCATTCTTTTACATTATTAATTCCATGGTGATGCATTAGCTTTTCTGATGTATGGGGTTGTCATCTTCCTTCTAAAAAATACACTTCTCAGAGTAATTTAGTGCTGTAACATCACTTAATATTCAAACTAGCATAATTAGTTTTCTTGGAAAATCTGTCTGTGTTGAAAGTCAGGAACCACCAAGAATTAGGATTATGGACTCACTGAAAGACATTGTGCAAATCAGTTAACCTGTGCCTCAGTTTCCCCATTTGTAAATAAGGGTAATAAGCAAATGAGGGGTCTTCTGAGGTTCAATCAATGTTTGTAAAGTGTTTGTAAGAACTTTGGATGGAAGGCACTATAGAAGATAAAATATATTAAATAGTCATGAATACTAATCAATGAAGCATCCTAAAGAAATCAAATCAACAAGAAATATGATAAGATTTGCTGATTAATTGATCATAGATTTTTATTTTATGTTGCAATAAGTTTATATTAATTAGCTACTGGCTGCATAGTGTTTAGAAGATATATAAAGTACTACGACTACTAAAATAGTAACCGTTTGCTTTTCTATGACTTAGGAAATCCTTTAAAAAACCTACTACAGTCACATAAAATCTGTTTTAGCATTTCACACTTAAACGCCGCTCTGCGCAAAGTGAGTCCAAAGTTGTTTAAGATAGTTTGGCTTACATCTTCATCTTGGCTCTTTAGTATGTAGTTGCAACAACTTGGACTCATACACGTTTACCAGTGTGTTTCTTACAACCCTGACATATTACAACTTAATTGGGCCAACTGAGCTAAGATAGAAAGGGAATCAAAGATGGTTTAATTTACATTCTATTAATATAAATATGGAGCCATAAGAGAGCAGTGTTGAAAGAAAAGCAACTAACAGGAGGGTGTTAAAGAGTAAATTACTTTAGCTTACGCTATTTTGGATTCACCCACTCACCTCTACATTTGGGCCTCTAAGAGGAAATACGGAAGGAGAAAAAAGAGTGGATGTTATAGCTCAAGTTATGAATTATTGGCTAAGTTGCTAATTATTAAGCTACCTTGATTACTTGCTTTCGATTCTATAGTTGCATGTTAAGAATGACTCTTTCTGGCTCTTCCTTCAAAATAAATAAGCTATTTTAGATTAACAACTCTCAACACTGAATGAAGGAAGCTTAATTTCAATACACCTGACACAAAGCTGACTCAGCAAGAAAATAAATGCACTTCCACATTAGTTGATGGGCTGACTAAAACCTGACATTTTGTTGTCATTGTTCAGTTTAGAAGAAAAATACTAACTAAAAACTTCTTGTCTTGGAAAAAATTTACTACAAAGGATTAGAAAAAGATTAACAAACTAAATGACTATTATATTTCTTAGTTCATTATTGAAATTTAACTTGTATATTCCTTCAAATGTTGATTTAGACAAAATCTGTTAAGTGTCATTCTGACACAGCTGTACTCTTTACAGGAGGTACACTATTTTTTCCCCCAAACACAGGCAGTCAAAAATTTCTGACCATTGATTCTGTATCATTTTCAAATGAAATATTTTATAAAGAGGTCATTGTCTTGATAAAGCCAATCCTACAAATCCTAGGCAGGCATGCCCTTGCACCTGCATGGAACCCTACTGAAGTCAAATGCCCCAAAAGTGTGTTTTTCAGGCATGTGAGTTCAGCCAAGTGAGCTTAACATGACTGAAAAGCTCTGTTAAGATACTAACATTTCTGAAGCAGTGTTATTTGGCTTCAAACTTGCTAGTCCACATCTTAGAGATTTTCAGTAATGTTAAGCTAATGTGATTTAACTAACATGATTGGGGAAGAAAAAAAAACAAAAAACTTTTTTGGCCTTCAAGATAGGGCTTGAAAACAGGGTGCTGCCTATGCAGAATCCATTGTAGGAATGGAGCCTTTGTTTCTAAATAGTATTTAGAAACAATATTTAGTATACAAAGGATGATATTTTGACAAGAATCATGGGTAACATACGTAGATTTGCCTACAAAATGAAAGAATCAAAACATTTTTGTTTACCTTTTACAGACAGTGAAACCACACTACTCTGTAAATGGTAAAAATACAGATGTTTTTAGTGCCTCATTAGAAAAGGGAAGAAAAGGAGACACAGACGGCATCAATAAACCTGATATATGTAGCTCCCAGACTGTCCTCTAAGTCTGTTATTGTATCACATACTTAGGCCCAGCTCAAAAATCAATATTAAAAGTAGCTGGCAAAGGAAGAATCTTCATTACAATTAAGCATATATCTTAAAGTATATTACATTTCAGCTGAAAAGTATAGCAAGGTAATTAAAATTACAGTGACTCATCTTGGAGCTCAGCAAAATGCTCTGTAACATGTCGATGGTTTAATAAAATCTCTCCAAAATCCCTCCAATTATCACACACGGTCAGGAAAAAAACCCACTCATTGGTGATTCAGACAGCTGATGGAGCTGCTGTAGATGAGCAGATGCTCCACAACATGCCCGAGATATAGGAACCAGCCACACGCAATTTAAATAAAAAGCACTGATGTGGTTATAGCAAAATAGTAGCTTCCAACACTTACAAGTTTTCCCAAAAAAGGCTGGAATTTCTCATGCTCAAAGATAAATTTTGGGAAAATTTGTTAAATTTTTGTTAAAATTTCTTTTGGCTTTTTCTGAGATATTAGGAACACTGAAACAAAATAGTGTTCTCCAAATGCAGTATTTTCATGGATCCTCACCCATGGGTATGTGCCTCAAAGGAATGCCTCTGACTCAGAATTCAAAAATCATCAATACACATTGGGGGCAAGAGGCACTCAACTTCCTGTTGATTAGATACAACTACCAGAATTGCCAACAATAGTCTTTTCATTGTGCACCACCGATGGTAGTGGGTCTGTTGCCAGATGCTGCTGCTGCTACAATCTGTTTACTGTTTATCTCCAATAAATAATATTTTTTCTGAGCCTTCAGAAACTGAAGCATGTATCATGTATGCGTTAAATTAGTTCCATCGTACACCTCAATCGCCTCACCTGCACTCTGCCCATCAGTTAACCTTCACAGGAACTACTATGAATATTCAAAACCCTTCAGCAGCTTCTGGTGGACAAACAATTTACAGGCTTCAAGAAATGCCTTGAGTGTTGCTGGAAGATCTAGCTCACTGACTGGCAACATTCTTGGCCTAACATGCCTCAGAGTAAGAATTAACTGAAATTTTCCTGCTGAAAAACAATGTTTTATCAAAAATTAAGTTTTCTGTGGCAAAATATCTTTTGATTAAATATTTCATTTTTTCTATGTGAAATTTCAAAATGAAATTAAACAATTGTTTTTTCTTGAATTGAATTTTAGATTTGTTTAATTTTTTTCAAAATCTAATAATTTTCAGTATTTTCAATGATTGCTTTTCCCATTTTCTCTCCCTTTTTTGCTACTGGAGGCAACAGAATGAACAAGTTTAGGGTTTTGGTTTGCTTTTTTTTTCTTCCACATTTTTAAAAATGTATTCTTTTTCCATTCTAAACTTTCCAAAATGTCCTCCACTTTGGAAAATTACATGCAGCAAAGGGAAAAATGAAACATTTACTTTGCTACTTAGTAACTTTTTCAAAGTGGATGAAGTTTTGAAGAGTCGCAGAGTGGAAAAAGGAAAGTGAATGAGCGTGAGAAGACAAATCTGGACACTATTCCTAGTACTGCACTCAGTGGCAAAAAGAAGAAAAGGAGAAAAGAAAAGAAAATTCAGACATTTTGAAAATTACAAAAAAAATTACAAAAAAATGCTGGTAAAGTGAAAAATTGTTCCATTTGAAAACTCTGCAATCAGAAACAACTTCAAAATTTGAAATGTTGGTAACTGGCTTTCCAGTGAGCCATGCCTCAGCTGGCTTCAAAGATCTTCTCCAGAATGTCATCCCAAATTGTTACCATTCTAGGGTGAATGCTTCACATGCCTGTCAGCTTCCCTGGAGTCTCTCAATGACTCTGATGCAAAATTGGCCTGATGGCCTTTAAGTAGACATCTTCATGACAAAAAGTCTAAAGTGACTGAAAATTGCTACAAACAATTTCAAAATGATTTTCATTCCAAGGGTTTTAAAAGAAAAACTTTAATTTTCTGGAAAAAAAAATTACCAAAAAATTTCAAAATGATTTTAAGTTTTTGGTTTTCATTTTAATTTTATTTATCCTCTTTCATTTTTATTTCCCGCCCCCATGTACACACTTTCTCCCCCTTTTCCCATTTTTCCACTGAAAAAAGGGAAAAGCAAAACAAAAGAGGGAAAAGCTAACAAAAATTGTTTTTATAAAAAAGACTGAAAATGTCAAAACAAGAATATTTTTATTTAAAAAACGATATATAACACTCCAATAACTTCCCGGTGTCACTAACAGATCATTACAACTAGTATGTTGCATGCCTCATAGAGTGACCACTATTCTGCTGGATATATCATCAGGTAAAAAAACAAGAGCATGCCTTTGCTCCTACCCCAAAATTACTTACAACTCATGCACAGAAGTCTCTCTCTTTCTCTCCGAAGTGCCTTCTCTGCTTCAAAGCCGCCTCAAAAAAATCAACAGTCTCAGTGAATTGGATGCATATTCAAGGCAACAGTTAGAGTAAAACTGAGCTTTTTCAAAGGGGAGTTGCCTTTAAATCATGAGATACCCATTTTAATCACCCATTCTAGGTATCTGCTACCTATAGTTTGCATTTAACTCTCAGATGCCAAATACTCCGCTCCTCTTGTTTCTCAAACATGAAATCCTAACTCAGAGTTAAGTAGAGAGGGGCCTCTAACTGGTACTAATACATTCTTGAGTTCAGGGTTTGCCTCTGTTATATTCTATTTAATTATTTACCAGGGTTATTATTATTTAACTTGTTTTACACTTTTACTTTAGAACTGTGTGTTGCCACACATCAAACAGGCTAAAAGGATTTTTAATTAAAAGGTGATTCTGAGAAGGCTGGGGCAGTTTCTAATTGAAACCAGTCCATTATATAAGAGAATTTAGAGGATAAATTATGTCTTTGAAGCTTGAAATTCCATACTATTTAAGAAGCCTGGAAACAGAAACAAAATGCACAGTCAGTTTACATTATTTAATAGTTTGGGGCTTTGTTTACTTACCTAATTAGAAAAGAACTAGTACTGCTTCTTATGCTTCATATTACAGGAAAAGAAACCTCATTACTGAAACCATGAAGGAGCAAATGATGCCTTCTTTCACATAATTCATACAAGAAATATGTCCACTAGAGCTGAACAAATGCTTCATATTAATAGTGGATTGCCTAAGGCCTGATTCTGGTGGTTTTGAGAAAATATTTGCAATTAAATTTTATGTTAAATTTTATAAGCAGGAAATATCAATCTCTGGAGTAATATGTGATGCATAATGGGTTTCTTTAATGAAAATCTGCTCATTGATTTCCGAACACTTTTTTATGGCACTGCCCAGTAAGGCTATTATAGTTAGAATTGTGTCATGGTTTCCATTATGAACCCCAATTTCTGGGGTTTATAATTCAGATATAAAATTTGCTATAGGGTAAATGTTGACATCTAAAGTCTGCTTGGGAGCAATTTTCTTTATGCAAGTAGAAACATAGGAAATTTGGATTGAAACAACCATTGGTTCATCTATGATTTCCTCTGCCTTTCAGCAGGTATAACCATAAATGCTATCAGTCCCCAGATACTTATCCATTTCAGCTTTGAAGTCTGAGGTTTGTAGCTTTAACCACTCCCTTGCCAGTCTCTTCCTTAAAAAGAGACCCCAATAGGAGTTATGAAGGATTATTTAGGTATTGGGAAGAAATGTGCCCCTCAGACAGGCAGCAACTTAACTGAAATTAAACATTTGTTAAATATTGTGTTAGTATGTGACAAACTCTTTCACCTAGCCCAGAGTTTAACCAATGGTATATTAAATTACATTAATATTCTTGATGTATTTATACTGTAATTCTTAAATCTGTGATTGTTTCTATTTGTGCAGTGCCTTAAATACATTGCCTGGGAGCTTTATAAATACTATGAGCCAAATCCTTGGTAGGTGTAATCTGTTATAGCTCCATTAAAGTCAACTACTCAACAAGCCTTGGAAAGGAAAAGCCCATCCCGCAAACTTCTCCTTAATTCATGTCCATGAGTTGGACTATTATCCTGCAATGAGAAAAGTTATGTTGTTTATGGTCAAATTCACCAACATGCCAAGGGCCAGCACAAAGCCAACATGTCATTTAAGACCCATTTAAGACCCAGTTAAGACACTCAAATTACCTGGGATGTAAGTGGTGCTTAGGCCTTCTGCAGGCTCTGTGAACAGCGGTGAATTTCACCCTTGTCTGACCACTGAATATTTATCTTTCAAACACTATTTCCCTCATGTAATATTTCTTAAAATTTGTCATAGGGTATTCCAGTCATACCTAAATTACATTTTGTAACCATTCTCCAGACATTTTCTAAGAATTTAATATATTTTTAAAGATAACTGGATGGATACTGCTCACATATTCTGTCCTAATTAGTACTTTATATACAATGGAACCAGCACTTAGATTCTCAAAAAGAAAAGGAGTACTTGTGGCACCTTAGAGACTAACCAATTTATTTGAGCATGAGCTTTCGTGAGCTACAGCTCACTTCATCAGATGTTTACCGTGGAAACTGCAGCAGACTTTATATACACACAGAGAATATGAAACAATACCTCCTCCCACCCCACTGACAGTGGGGTGGGAGGAGGTATTGTTTCATATTCTCTGTGTGTATATAAAGTCTGCTGCAGTTTCCACGGTAAACATCTGATGAAGTGAGCTGTAGCTCACGAAAGCTCATGCTCAAATAAATTGGTTAGTCTCTAAGGTGCCACAAGTACTCCTTTTCTTTTTGCGAATACAGACTAACACGGCTGTTCCTCTGAAACCTTAGATTCTCAAGTGACAGGCACGTAACCTATCTAATCTGAGGTAAGGTATTTCTATCTCTTTTGATTTACATCTTGAGTAGCCTTGCTGAAGTCAGTGTGGCTAGTCACTTAGGGTATCTCTACACTGCAACTGGGTGCGAGCCTCCAAACTCAGGTAGACAGCCTTGACCTAGCAGTGTAAACATTGTAGCTTGGGCTCTGAAGCCTAGGGGGACAGGTAAACATGAGAGCCCAACCTGCAGTGTCCACACTGCTATTTTTATTTGCTAGCTCAAGCCCCACTAGTATTAATTTGTCTTCCTGGTGATGGGAGGCTCACTCCTGGCAGTAGTGTATAGACATACTCTTAGGGCCTGATCCAACTCCCATTTACTCCAGTGGGCATTAGATTGGATCCTCAATAAGGTACCACTCAATGTGAGGAAAAGCCTGCAGAATCAGGTGCTCAGTGAGACTGAGTTGGTGATCGCTTTTTGATGATTTTCAGCATAAAATAAAACAACTGAATTGTTTTGTGTAGCGCTTACACAAATTCAGGTGAGTAAAGAAGACATACTTGAAGGGGGATAATAGAATTTTATATAAATATTGGCTTATTTGGAAAGTAAGTGGTTAACCTAATAATTCTCTGAATACTCATCCACATTATTGGAGCAAGAATCTTGTGGCCCAACTTTATATTTTATTTTCTTTGTTTTTAAAGAACTGTTGTCATTATGCTGGGGGAGGGGGAAATGTCCTATTATGCCTTGTTCTGGTGAGAAGTACGCCTTACTTCTAAAAGTGACTGAGAATTATGTCAGGATAATATATTTCCATAGATTTGCACATCTAATTTGACAGTGAAAAGATTGGTATGAAGGTCCTTCTGATCTGATTACTAAAATGAGAAAGCTAAATCTACTTCCAGGTTAAGCATTATTTTGAATATTTCCATTGTCTCTGTATTCTTTCTGGTAAAACTTCATCATTTATTCACTAACTCAGGCGTCTCCACAGCATTGATTGTGTAGCCTATAACCTAACAGACATCTCCTGTTTTGTGAGTATAATATTCCTGGCACATACTGTAATTATTTAGTTTCTAAATAAGAAAGAAGGAAGACTTGAAAGCAGAATCAATTGATTAATGTAAAATTAACCTCTCCGTTTGAATGAGAATGACTTACCACTGCCCCCCAAACTCTGAGAAATGTAAATGTCTCCACCTGACTATTTAAAAGTTTTAGAAAAACTTTTAAAATAAAATGCATAAGTAATTATTTAATTAGTGCTTGAGAGTTTTAAAGCACTTCACAGATAGCAATTAGTTAATTCTCATAATAGCTCCGAGAGGCAGATAAGCAAATATGAGTGAAATTATTGCTTGAGTCTCAGTTATTTTACCCTCAGTACTGGTGCCACAAAGCGAGTTGGGACTCCTCACATGAATCACAGCCATGGTATCATTTGTAGCTCAAGACCTGCACCCAGACTATCAGACACATCAATTTCACCTGACTCCAGAAGACAAGAATAGCAGTGTTCACTTTGAAAGCAATCAGTGCCTGCCTGCCTATTCCCATGTTAAACAAACTATGCTTTTGTTTTTATTAAACAAATTAGGCTTTTAATATCAAGCTAACAGAGGAAAATACAGAAAGTAATAAATTAGGAGCAAAAACAATGAAGTTACTCTCAGTGGTTTGAGCATTGGCCTGCTAAACCCAGGGTTGTGAGTTCAATCCTTGAGGAGGCCGTTTGGGATCTGGGGCAAAAATTGGGGATTGGTCCTGCTTTGAGCAGGGGGTTGGACTAGATGACCTCCTGAGGTCCCTTCCAACCCTAATATGATTTTCTATGATTCTATGAGGAATAGCCTCAGTTAAATGGGCCAGAGTTGTAGACAAATCTTTAGGGGGGAGGGATAGCTCAGTGGTTTGAGAATTGGCCTGCTAAACCCCGGGGTTGTGAGTTCAATCCTTGAGGGGGCCATTGAGGGATCTGGGGCAAAAAATGGGGATTGGGGGTCCTGCTTTGAGCAGGGGGTTGGACTAGATGACCTCCTGAGGTCCCTTCCAACCCGGATATTCTATGAAATCAATGTAACCAAGATCAGAATCTGAGGCTTAGACCTTTAAATGTACCACTTCTCCCTTCTAAAGGATCTGTGAGCTATACATTAAATTTTATTACAGTGCAGTACATATTACCTCTTAGAGCAGTGCCTCCCAAACTCTGAGCCTTGGCTCTCAAAAGGAGCCTTGAAGGATTCACGGGGAAGCCATAAGTGTTTATGGGGAAAAAAAATAGTAGATATGCCCATTTTATTTTCTAATTAAGAGACTATTAAACTGAGTTTAAAAATTTCCTGTACCTTATCTATGGTTCTGTAGCATATGCTGCTGCTCCCACTGAGGCTGGGAGCTTCTGTGCCCTCTGCTCCTTCAGGAGGCCTTCAGCAGAGAGACTTCCTCCTGGGGGAAGCGTTCAGCAGGAAGTCTCTGCTGAAGGCCTCTTGCTGGAGTGGTAGGCAAAGAGACTTCCAGTGCCTGCAGCAGCACCAGCACTACCAGATGGTGAAAGAGGGCTGAGGAAGAACCCAGCCAACTCCCAAGAGGAGGAGAAGGGTGGTAGTGGTCGGGGACTTCCTCCTAAGCGGGACAGAGTCATCCATCTGCCATCCAGACCGGGAATCCTGAGAAGCGTGCTGCTTGCCTGAAGCTAGAATTCAGGATGTGACTGAAAGTCTGCCAAGACTCATCAAGCACTGGGACCTCTACCCCTTCCTGCTTATGCAAATGGGCACCAACAATACTGCCAAGAATGACCTGGAGCAGATCAGTACAGACTATGTGGGCTCTG